GCAAATAATGTGTGCTGTGATTATTAAATAAAAGTGTACAAAGAATAAAGTTTTAATATTTTCTTATCCATATCTATGAGTGATATTTATTTTTAATACTAAACAAATGGTTATGATTTTTTTGCATTTTTAAAAGCATACTTTTACACATTTTATACAAACATGTCATAATACTGTCCTGTATAATATTTATAATTTTGATACTAACCTAAGAAACGTTATTCCAGTCGATTTTTTACAAAAACGACTATCGCTAGACCAGGAACATATAACACAACAAGGCATTATAAACTTTATAAGTTTGTAACACTGAAAATTTGCTCAAATACAAATTAAATTCAAATTTATTAACACAAATGACACTAAAATATAACCTATAAAATTTGACAATTTGCACTCACAGTAATGGCGGACCGGTGCCACTTTCCGATTACGTCTGTCGTATCCCTAGGTTGCCAGATCAATGCCCCTGACTGACCGAACTCGCCTATTCATAACATTGTCAGTTGTCAGCATAGATAAACTAATAAATTAATAAACTAATATATTAATTTATCTATGGTTGTCAGTTTTAATACTTAATCGATAATAGGTCACAGAATAGTGGTTATTCTGTGAATAGGTCTTTTCCTTTGCATCGAAAGTGTAGGACCGAGCTACAGCTACACCACTTCTGAAAATATCGTTCCATTTATACAAATTGTATGGATGGAACAATATTTTCAGAAGTAACGTAGCTCAGTGCTACACTTTCGATGCAAAGGAAAAGACCTATTTCGACGTCAAAAAACCAGCAACACCAGCGCCCTCTGAAAATGGTGTTAGTTTTATTGGAGAGAGATAGACATATGTAAAGATCAATGTAAAAGAAAAAGAGGGTCATATATGTAATTTATGCCGCGTTTGAGAATCCACATCGGATGCATTTTTTACATCTCGAGCGTTTTTTTATCCACATCGGACACATCTGTCCCATTACATTTACGTATACTGAATCACGTGATCAAAGATTTTTTACATCTCAGATGCATCCGATGTGGATTCTCAAACGCAGCAAACATTTAAAAACAAATGTCCGATTTTGAGATTATATCAATGAAGTGGAGAGGGGTAGAATGATAACTGTCAATGAAAAAGTCTGGACACTATGCACAATTTCGTTTTGCCCATTTTGTAAACAAAATTCAGGGACGGTTTAACAACATTTTGTGCAACAATTATAAAATAGTGCATCGAAAAATAATTAACAAGTATAATTTAATACTAAATCGGAATAAAAGCATAAAAAATCATAAATATAAGCAAGATAACAAAGAATTGACGCTAAAAAATCTTACAACAGCTAAAACACAAACAAAAAACAGAGCTGAACATGAACATAATCGCTGAATAAAGTCGATCCTGGAATTTGTTTACAGTGCTTTAGGGCAACCTCTCCTTGTCATTTACGTGTGTAAGAGTGGAAGGCTGAATCACGCATAATTTCTACACTTGTGATGGATGCGCAGACGGTACCTTTGCCGCGTTTGAGAATCCACATCGGATGCATCTGAGATGTAAAAAATCTTTGATCACGTGATTCAGTATACGTAAATGTAATGGGACAGATGTGTCCGATGTGGTTAAAAAAACGCTCGAGATGTAAAAAATGCATCCGATGTGGATTCTCAAACGCAGCACTTATCGTTCTACCCTCTCTACTTCTTTGGATTATATCTAAATTTCTCAAAAATATATTGGATGGAAGATGGCCATAATTCGTGAAATGCAATACTGGTGCCATCTATCAACAGATAGTCACACTATCGAGTTGCACATATTACTTGTAGAGGCTGAAACTTGATTTTAATTAACGCACTTTTCTCTCACGCTCATGGAGAAACGATTATTACTCACGTTCAGGGGGGCTATTTTCAAAGTCGAGAGAATTCATTTCTCTCAAGAGAAATGTCATACGTCAACGTAAAACCGTATTTTTAGGGCTCTTAGGGCCAGTGTGAACTCACTGACTGTTTCTCTCGGTTTATTTAGAGAGAATTAAAATCTTCCGAAGAATTTTAATCCTCGATGCCTTTAAAAACAACATTTCCACATTGACGTATGACATTTCTGATGAGAATCTTGAGAGAAATGAGTACTCACACAGTTTGAAAATATGTCCCCAGGCCTCGCACCGAAATGGAGACAGGCGTAACAAAAAAGCTACAAAAAAGTTACAAAAAATGAGCCTGGTCCGAGCTGGTGCCGCTAAAAATATCCGCTAAGCTAGCGGATCCGCGCTTTTCTCAGGTTCAGTACAAGCTACAAAAGGGAGACTAGCGTAACAAAAAAGCTACAAAAAAGTTACGAAAAACCAGCTGGGTCTGAATCTGTGCCGCTACTATGGAATTTATGGAAATTCAAGCTAGCGGATCCGCTGTTTTTTCGGACCTGGGCAAAGCTACAAATTCGCAAATAGCGTAACAAAAAAGCTACAAAAAACCCACCAGGTCTTGTATGGTGTCGCCACAGAGTGCCCGCCACCACAGAACACTTACTCTTAGAACGGTAACTCCCATGTTAAAAAAGGATGATAGAGTTTTTAGCGGCACCTGGTGGACGTGGTTGATTTTTTTTCAATTAAGTCCTTGTCTGGTAAGAGGCCATATGAAAGAAGAGAAAATAATAAAAAGAAGAAGAGAAGAAAAGCGCGGGGCTATTCAAATTTGACAGTAAAAATTATCCGCATTAAAAACTGTTAGCCAAATTAAGATTTGTTCACACAAATTGCATTTTTGCTTTATTATAGCGAATATCGCTATAATAAAGCAAAAATGCAGTTTGTGTGAACAAATCTTAATTTGGCTAACAGTTTTTAGATAAAAAAAACAAGAATATTCAAAAAATAAATTTATTAAAGAATATATATAATACAAATCCAATATTTAAAAAATGTAATGTATATGAAAATTGTATTATGTATGAAGTAGCTGGATGACTGCTACATATTCCAGGATACAACACTGTCCATCATTTTGTGAAGAACTTTAGCTGTGAAAAAAGAAAGACAGTATAAGTACAATCTCATTAAAATAAATGTATTAATAAAAAATTATAAGTCCGAGGAATACTTTATTTTTTAATAAGTCCAACATCTACGATACAGCTTTGCAACCCCAAACGTCATGAAACACAAATTTCACAGTATATGCAGCGTTTAAGAATCCACATCGGATGCAACTGAGATGTAGTAAATCTTTGATCACGTGATTCAATTTACGTAAATGTAATGGGACAGATGTGTCCGATTTAAAATAAACTATTTGAGGCGCTGTTCTCCACATCTCGGCAAATGGACTAAAATAATAATTTATAATACTCTTAATATTACCTTATTTTAATTATTGTGCCACTATACTGTATTTGCTCAACCAGAATGAGTTGCAATGATTGCAAAAGTTGCAGAATAGAGGTCTGAGGATAATACTGAGCTGTTCGAGATTGGAACCAATCAATTCCATGTTGAATGTGCTTCAGTGGTTGACTGTTAAAAAATATTTGCTATTCTATTCCCTGCTTTTTATATTTAAAATTAAATTAGGAATCTCCAGAGTATATTTACAAAATATTTTAAGTTATAATCAGGATGTTCATGAACCTAAACAGGTAACAAGAAAAATGTACACAAAATTCAGTGTTTTTTAAAGGTGTACAGGCTTTTAATAATTTGCCTGAGGATATTAAATGTTCTTCAAATGTGGCAATATTTAAAATAAAACTGCATGAATACCTGTTCACCTATTGACGTTTTTTTTCTCTTTCTTGTTCTTTTATTGTTTTGTATAGTTGACATGTAAGTGTACTGTATCTTATGTATTTTTTATTGCATTTTAAATGTATGTTGATTCTATATTTAGGTATTTTTTATATTTTAAACCTGAAGATGTATTGACATGTAAAAAATAGTTTTTTTGACTAAATAAACGTTTTATATATAGGTATGTGGATAAAAAAACGCTCGAGATGTAAAAAATGCATCTGATGTGGATTCTCAAACACAGCAATAAGTATAAAATAAATAAGTACTAACTTTCCTTCTCGAAAAGAAGTCCAACATATATTATTAGTCTGCTTCTTCTTCTACGATACAGCTTTGCAACCCCAAATGTCATGAAACAGAAAATACACAGTATAAGTATAAAATAAATGAGTAGATTACTAACTTTCCTTCTCGAAAAGAAGTCCAACATATATTATTAGTCTGCTTCTGCTTCTTCTTCGAACCTTTACTTGAAGTAGAAGGTGTTTGATCAACATATTCAATTTCTACGTTATTTGAGGAAAGTCCATCCGCTACTCTTCCAGGAACTGCTGGTAGGAATAGCGTTGGAAATGCTTCAGGTGTTAGACCTCGACGAGAGCCAACTACTTTATACTTCTCTTCAAAATGTTTATGACATACTACAAAGGTGGAATAAATTTGTAGTTTTGTTTTATTATTAAATCTTGGACAACGAACAGCAAGTGCCCAAATTTCAAATAAATCGGGTCTATTCCTAGGGTGGGGCAGGCGATGCATCTTGTTGTTCACATCAAGGCAATTCGGTACACAACATTTTCTATAATTACGCATCTTTATGGAAAAGCACGAAATAACAGCGGAAAAAGCACAAGATAACAGTTCAAAACGCACAAATTTATAATGGAAAAACAAGCTCACTAACAGTGGTCAACTAAATCAATTAAGCAAATTGGAAATCAAAACACAACTGAACACAACCAAGTCACCAATATAAATAAACACGTTTGGTTTAAGCCAAGACGCCATGACACCCCCCCAAAATCAATATTCACCTGTCATTTACACTCCCACCACCTACCCCACCACCCGACTGCAGCGCCACGCGGACGTGGTTGATTGATCCTTGACCTGCGCATACCAGTTTCCCACCCCTGCCCGCCACGTGCCCGCTAGCTTGATATAGCTATGAAAATATTTCGAGAAATATTTTAAACAGCCACTTTGAAGTAATCATTCAGTTAAAATTTGTGTAGCTGGGTAGAACATAGTCAAAGACATGAACCTAGTAATTATTTTTGAACGAAGAAGAGGAGTAGTGTCAGTGATAAAATGTCAATTACTGTGATTTGACAGTTTCAGTCCAATTTTAATTACATTTTAGATTAATGAATCCGTTTACCAACTTTTTATTTTATTAATTACATCTAAAATGTCGTCGCCTAACGACCTGAAGAATTCAGAGCTTCTAAAAAGCGAAGTCGAAAGATTAACTAGAGAATTAGACCAAGCCAGTAGTGAAAAAGTACAATCAGCCCAATACGGTCTAGTTTTACTTGAAGAAAAGAAAGAACTTCAACAAAAATGTGAAGAATTTGAAGCTCTATACGAAAATACAAAACATGAATTAAATATTACTCAGGAAGCTCTTGCTAAGTTTCAGACCAGTCATAAGGTAACTACGAAAACGGGAATTGAATCTGAAGAATCTTTATTGAATGAATCGGCAGCTAGAGAATCGTCCTTAACTTTACAAATATTAGAATTAGAAAATGAAGTTAAACAGTGTAGGCATGAGTTGGAAAGAGTTACTGCTGAACGAGACCGAATGCTTCAAGAAAACAATGACATGGGTAAATACATATTTCTTTTATTATTAAGCATTTATAATTGTTAGTAGATCGTAAAATGCCTTTAATAGCCAAATAACTACAAATTTAAATATGTAAAATATGAAAGAGGAATTTACCCTGCGCGGGATACAGACAATAGTATAATACTCCAAAGATTTGATCTGCTATTGCCTAACGATTGAAGAATGTATTAGAGCAGGCACAGAAGTTGGAAAGGCTTTTCGCAGTTCTCCCACTTCATACACAGACGTTGTCAGTTTTGTGGTGATGTTAACTGAAGTGGACATGATACATTGACATACAAAATTATTTTATAGATGTTAATAAAAATTTCCGGTAAATAATGTAAATAATTATGAATAGCTGTTGAAATTTTGTAGAATTATGATTTGGGATATTATAATACTTGTTTTATAATTATTTATAGTCCATAAATACATGCAATTGTCCGCCAGTAACAATTTAAAATTACCTATTACATTACCACAAAATTCTCGAAATCATCAGACGTAGTTTGGCATTTACTCCCTCTACCTATCAAAAGCCTTTACAACTTCTGCCCCTGCTATATTTCTGTAGGTTTTGAAGTTGGTGCATGGCCTTATTGACTCCCCACAACTTATCTCGCAACTTAATTTTAACATACCTAGATTAATTTCAAGAAATGAATTATGATTCTATTTTACATTTTCAAAAACAAATGTGTTAAAATCTGTATTGTGCAATGTATAAAAAATTCAATAAATTGAGTAATCGGGTTGAGTTTATTATTATGTTAAAACAAAATGTTACAATTTTCTTTTTAAAAATAAGTAAAAGTACTGAATATTCTTTTATGCAGGTTTTAATTAAATATTAAATTGTTACTATTATATTAATTAACTTTTATCCTGCAATTGAACCCTATTGAACTATTTGAAATAGGTACAGCAGTTTAGAATGAGAAAACTTATTTTTAGTGTCAATAAAACAATTTATAGAAATTTAAAATATTTCAATGGGTTTTGGAGATATTCATTAAAATAAATACAAAATATTACTTTGTTAATTTGGTCACACCATGTTTTGTGTTTAAAATAAATCCCAAAGAAGATCTATCTGTATTTGTCAAAATGATCCACATAAAAATTATATTTTATGATTCCAGTCCCTGACCATATTACACATATCAATTACTAACTTTATTAATCTTGTTATTTAAAGGTAAAGATAAAGAAGACAGAAACATGGAATGTAAAAAATTACGTGCTGAATTAAGAGAAGTAAAATTCAGGGAAAATCGTCTCATATCAGACTATTCAGAACTTGAAGAAGAGAATATTGCCTTACAAAAACAAGTTTCTGCTTTGAAGAGTTCACAGGTTGAATTTGAGAGCTTAAAACATGAAATAAGGAGAATGCAAGAGGAAATGGATTTGTTGAATTTACAGTTAGAAGAGGTTACTAATTTGAAAAAAATTGCAGAGAAACATATGGAAGAAGCTTTGGAATCATTACAGGTAACTTATACAGAGCATACAATCTGTATATTAACAAATTTTTCCATAATTGCTTGCTAATCAATTCTCTTTTCCTGGATTTTCTGTAAAAATGTTGACACATATTTTTGTTTTTACTAGTTAAATTGTTAATTCACTGTTAGGTTATAGTTAACAGTGATGTTCCTAAAATGACGCGGATAAGCAACAAAATCTGCACAAGTCAAATCATAAATGACATCTAATTAGATGTGGTTCATCAAATGGACCTAGTTGCTTGTACTCATAAAAAAAATCTGAAAAATTGTTTTATTGGTTAGATTTCAATAATATGAAAATTAAAAGTTATGTAAGAATATCAAAACAAATTTTATATTACAGGACTAGATGTATAGGAGTAATAGAAAATCCAATTTTAACAATTAATTATTTATTTCAATTTTAACATTGATTTAATTTGTTAGCTAAAAAATAATATTAAAAAGTGTTGAGAATGTTGAGATTGAAAGACCCAAAAAAGAAATTGATATTGATTGAAATTTAATATCTTGATATCAAATTTCAGGACTCTGAAAGCCAGCCATTGAAGGTTATTGCATGAAATAGTCAATAAAGATTTTTGTTTACTTTGTTATATGGCTCTTTCCATTGAAATACTTATTTTTATTCTATTAATAACTATAAAAAATTCAATTATCCCACTTTAGTATTCCCTGTTTTACTTTCATAGTGAGTTACATAAAAGAAGATAAAATTTTAAATGCAAGATAATACATTTTATCTATGGATATTTATTATCTCTAAATTAGAAAATCTATGATTTTGTTAAGGAACCACATTTTAATTCTTTGATCCATCAAAATAGTTGTCATTTATTTTGGATTGATGTTTAACTTCAAATAGTGAACAAATGTAAGCAAGCATGAAAAGTGCAAGAACTTTACAGAATACTGAATTAGACAAGATACATTTACTAAATATTACCAATATAATTAGAAGTCACACTTCAAACTTATGTATACAGATGTCAATATAATCCATCAAATAATAAAACCCAAATATGACATTAGCTTAGATAAAATCTAGAGACAATAAATATCCATGGATAAAATGTATTAACCTAAGTTTAAAATTTAATCCTCTTTTATGCAACCCTCTATTAGTGTCCGTAGAAGATGTTGAAGACTTTGGCATTGCAGATTTTTAGATATCTGTAAATTATAATTTTAATTTACACTTTTGTTTGCATATAGTTTTTCTTAGGAGAAAACTTAAATGCAAATAGAATTTTTTATATAGTATGTACATGAACGGACATAACTTGTAAAAATATGTATTTTAATTTTTTTTAAGTAATTCTTCATAATTTCTTTTGCTTGTTAAATAAATATGATTCACGTTGAGAAACTTCGATTTTGTTGTACAGGGTGTGCAAAAAATACAACAATTATGGATTTGGAAAACTAAAAGTTTGCAAGTAAAAATTTTTGGAAGCATTTTTGTGATAGGTTATCTGGCTTCACCCGCTGCGAAGTGGATCACGCGTTTGACGATAAGGCTGGTAAATGAAATAAGGGCTACCCAGGCGCCATTCTTCATATCGCAGTTTGCTCTGCAACACTAAAGTTGAAGTATACTTAGAGAACACTCAAACAAGACTCAGTAGAGTAAATTAAATTCCAGGCAAATGAGTTATTTACTGAAAGAAACTTAACACCAGTAACACCTACCTTACTCAACCCAAGTAGTCTAATCACTTTGCACCTTTTACCCTTAAGGTAATCCTGGAAGATCTGGACAAAGTGCGGGGTATAGTTAAGAAAAACATAGGAAGTTTATTAAAAAATATATATTTATAACAGCAATCGCGGTCTAATAATAAGAAGTACAAGTAATTGTGAGTATTTTTTTACAATGAAATGCACAAAATAAAAATAAAAAATAAATATTAATCAGTGAATACAGATATATCCGCAGTATGCCACATAAGCAGTGAAAACCTTAAAGTCAGCAGTATAACTAACATAATGAAATATTTACAAAATTACTATTAGAGGAACTAAAAAAAAAAATCCATGAATACGAATATACCAACACTATTCCTATTAAGCGATGAAAACCCCAAGTTAGTTAGAGTTAAACTATATAAAAATAAGTCATACATATCATATCACACACAAGATCGCACAGTCGAATCGAGTGCTTTGAGCAGAGGAGGGGGTGTCTTGATTGCAGTAAAGACAATGTTTTCTAGCTGCCTTATTCCATCTAACTCAGCAGTTGAACAATTATTTGTCTCTACTGAAAACAAATTTATTTTGGGTACAATATATCTACTGCCTACTTCATATCCCAATTCATATCATTTGCACTATGTTCATGTTAAAACATTAAAAGATCACAACCCAGACTCTAAAATTTTTCTTTTTGGGGATTACAATCTTCCTAATCTTCGGTCATTATTTATTAAGCCTACCAGATAATACCCATCTATGTATACTTCTTTTTTTAATATAACTGGTCATTAAAAATTGACAAATTGAATCTATTGCATTTCATTCTATCAGCGGAAGTTTGAAATCTTATTCAATTATAACTGTATCTAGTAAAAAGTTTTCAAGTGGTTACTTGGTCGAGCTCGTCTAGCGATTGAAAGAGTAAAACTATAATGGATGTGTCGTGAGTTCGATTCCTGCTCAGATCAAGCAATTTTAATAAAAAATAAATGGTGTATAGCAGTTTGCGAAAATAATAAACAAATTATTAATAATATAAAATAGTGTTTGGTGAGTTGCGGTTCTGTAAAAAAAAAAAATGGGGATGTGGTCTCAATGGAAATATAATCCTGGACGTTTTTTAAATGTCCAGTATTCGACGTCCAAATATATTCCAGAATTGGACGTCCTCTGAATGTTCAAAAGTGTGCCATTTGTATACTTCACTGGACGTCCATTGGATGTCGGAAGTCCAGAAAACTCATTTTTGGACGTCTAGACATCCAAAATTGTATATCGAATGGACGTCCAATGGACATATTTGTATTGTCTGGGTGATAGCCAGGCCAGGTATTTAACTCTAAATACATAAACCTTAAATGACATCTCGTTTAACTTGGCGAGAAAACATTTGTTTCTACAGAAATGAGTGATAAACTTGAAAGTCCTTTTAATATAATATAAATCTAAAAATTCTAAAAATATGTAAGTACTTTTTGAACCTAAAAGCTTTGAAAATATATGCACATTGCAAATATTTAGTTAAACCTCTCAAACTTAATGTCTTTTTAATTGTTACCTAATTTTTTTTGGCACCCTTAATTTTATTTACCTTATTTTTACTTAAGGAAAAGGTAATTTAATTTAAATATGGGGCGTTTATTACATTTTTAACAATAAATAAACCAAATATTGAACAAATTTTATAGATAAATTATAAAATAATAAACGTCTTTTACTTTTATAACAAATAATTAATTATTACATAATGAATTATATTTTGGTGCCGAAATTTCACCATTGCTATTAACCCTAACTACTTCAATGTAATTAAATCATGTTGCAACATTTGCGCATGGACTATAACAATAATTTCAGATAATTTGCCAAACTATTTCGCTCAGTGTAGAAAATAAGCATGTTTTTTCAGCGTGCTAAGTTGTGTATCAATCAAAGTCATGCTGTGAAAAAGGTACATCCGATATCAAAGGCACCGACAGCTACTGTCACTTCTCCTTGATCGGTATTCTCGGGTCCTGTCCTGTTCTCACTTTTTATTAACGACGTAACTTCCTGCTTTTTAAATAGTACTTGTCTTCTATATGCAGATGACTTGAAATTTTTTAGCACAGTCACACAACACTACTGCCCTTCAAGATGATGTAAAGAGACTAAACGAGTGGTGCAAGGTGAACCATCTCTCATTAAATACCAGTAAATGCAAGACCATCCAGTTCACTAGAGCGTTAACCCCTTCTCTTAATCAATACAAAATCGGTAATACTGTACTGCAAAATGTCAAATCTGTGAATGATCTAGGGGTGATATTTGATATGGAACTGTCCTTTCGAGAACATATTGATTCCATTATCTGTAAAGCTTTCCGGATGCTAGGCTTTATTAAAAGAAATACTCCACATATGTATGATACTAAAGCAATCTTAACATTATTTAACAGCCTTGTTAGAAGCATTCTTGAATATTGCTCTGTCGTATGGCATCCTAATTACACCTGCCACATAGAGAGGATAGAACGAGTTCAGCGTAAATTCACTATTTGCTATTTAAACACCACTTTCCCTACCAAAACGTTGGTTACGAAAGTAGAATGCTTTTATGTGGTATGCAAAGTCTAGAAATCAGAAGAAGGCATGCACTAGTTCTGTTTCCGTTTAAATTAATTAACGGTAAGATTGACTGTAGCGGCCTTTTACACTTAATTAGCTTTTTGGCACCTACTCGACGTACACTTCATACTTCATTGTTTTTCATCAGAAGACATAGAACCAACTATGGACAAAGAGCCTTTATTGACAGTATGTGCCACATTTACAATAAGCTTTACTCCGACTGTGACCTATTTAACACAAAGTTGTATGCGCTAAAGAGTAATTTGAAACTATCAAAATATTTTTGTTCTGTTTTTTTTTTGAGCTTTAATATTAAAACCTATTTCTATGTATATGATTTTGTGAATGAGATATTTTTGTGTAGGTATTTTACATACATGTATTAATTGTTATTTTTTTTCTGTGTACCATTTAGAATAATAATGCTGTAGTGTACCTATTTGAATAAATAAATAAAATAAATAAAAACGTCACTATTCCCATCATTACTCTGTTACTTCTGTTCCCCAAGATTCCTATCTGGGACCCCTTCTTTTTAATTTGTTTGTCAACTTTACTTTCTGTCAATGACCTACATTTTTTTCAAATCGTCAACAACTTTAGAAATGCTATCGATTTACAGTCTGATATTAATAATTTATCCGATTGGTGTAAATACAACGGCATGGATTTAAAT